AGTTGTGCAGTTTTCTTCTCACTCTGTATGATCCTGTGCTGATCTCTAGTGGACAAGAGCCCAAACTGCACTCTACTAAAAAAAAATCCCCTCAAAATGTTTAATGTCTGCTTAAGAAAGATGGAAAAGGAATAATAGCTACAGTTTGTGTTTGAATAGATTTAATGAATCCACAGTTCATGTTCACGCAAATTAATTCACAAGCAGCTTTAATAAACTTAACACACAGTCAAATATTCAAATTTCTGAAGGAAAACCTCTTGAAAAAGTGCATTCGTTTTCTGGGGACAGATCATTTAAACTATTCCATCCTTGAAATAAACTCCCTCTTACCTGCACAGCCAAAATAAATATTAAGAATACAAATGCAGACGGGCATAAACACTTAAAGTAATTCAGTATCAAACACAGGTACTCACGTTAATTAATGGTAAACTTTATTCTAGTAATCGTTCAGTCCTGTTTGTTCTGGAATGTAACGAAGGACAAGGACAAATCAGGTTCGACATTCAAGGAAAGATTAGAGACATTGGACAATATGCAAGCTGATGGATCACGATATTTAGAAAACAAAACTACCACTAACACTGACTATGACTTTGCAACTTATCCTCAGAGACGAACCCACCAAACGCAGGCTCCAGTATCACAACTCTTGACGTTACGCATTTCCTGTCTGCGGGACAAAAACAGCCACTTGTAGTTGACGTCCACCTGAGGATCTTCCTGGCTTCTTGGTCAAAGTGCGGCAGTTTTAGATGAAAGAGCAGGACACAGCTGTGTGCCGCCATCACAGCGCCACAGCAAACACACTGACCACACAGTACATGGTTCGATTCTCCCACCTGACTGTGCAGTTTCCTGAAAAACAAGAAATGTCTCATATTAATCCTGGGGCAAAAAGTTAAAGTTATATTATCTATGAATTATTTGAACACAATTATTCAAACAGATATTGGAGCCCTGAATTAACATATTGTACATTCAGGTACTTATTCATTACTGAAAATAAGATATTGTGTCTTAAACGATTTCATGTGATACCAGCTCTGAATGTAGGTTGTATCTCACCGTCAGTGGCAGTGTCCCAGTAGCAGGAGTTGGCCGTGTGGAGACCAGCACCGCTCTTCTGCATGATGGTACAGTTTACTACAAAAAAACAGAGACCAATATCAGTCACATAGTTACCTCCATATACAAGATCTACCTGTCAACACCTCATGTCTCAGCGTCTCATGTACTGTATGTGATGGGTGCATGTAGTTCACCTATGTATTTGAACGTGCGTCCCTGTTTCACCAGGTGTGTCAGAGAGTGCTCCACTATACTGGCCGTCCACTGGTTCACTTTATTCTGATTATAATCCGTTCCTCCGAGGACACCTTCGATACACTGAGACAAGACCACACAGAGAAAAACACTGTCATCACACCAAAGACTGGATTTACAATAAAATGAAGATTGCTGATGTTTCCATGGGTGAAGCCTCACCTCTTTAACTGAGACAGTGGCTTCATCAGCATTGAACACAACCTGCAGGGTGATTGAAAAGGAGAGTTAGCGACATCTGTGACAGCAAGTGTCATTTAAAGCAGAAAGAGTTTGATGATTTCACGTTCTGAAATAAATGATTTAAATATATAGATAATGAGAAAGAATTCTGTGCTTTAAAGTTGCAGCTGCCTCAATCA